TGGAATGGCTGGAAGAGATGGCAAAAAGGCAAAGGGTATTGAATGCTATGAAATTTATGTGATGCAACTTAATTTTGGTACAAGTCTCCTTTTTTGTGACGATAACCTCTAGCATGCTTTATTTTGGGGTAAAGATACATTGTGTAAGTCATATGATGAGAAAAAACTGCAGTTATCAAAATTTCAAGATGTTTGTAGGTACATGTATATCATTTTTATTACCATGTGCCATCAATTTTATGTTATACCCATACACAGGTATCATCATCATTGACGAGATACCAGCTAGTCCTGTAAACTACTGGATAAAAGAATTAAATCTTCAGGAAAATGATTGTGTACAGCTAGAAGGAACCCATCACCTTTCAGACAAGCATGTCATAGCTACTGCTAAACTACTGTCAAAACAATTCCCAGACATGCCAATGATTCAGTCGTGTTTATATACTCAGAAACTAAGTTTCATTCAGCTGGCTACAAATGATTCATTATTTTTCCACAACTTTGGGGACCATTGGGTTACTAGTCATTTTATGGATGGCATTGCTTTTCTTTATGACTCCTTCTACACGGAGATCATTCACTCAGAGTTAAAGAAGCAGCTCATTGCCCTCTATGGATCTGCTATGGTAAAAGTACCGTGGTTGGTGAAGGAAAAGGTGATAAGGATTGTGCCTGCTTTGCAGTAGCATACGCAGTATCTATTCTTTATGGAAATGATCCTGCTAACAATATATTCGATCAGTCACACATGAGACAACACATGATTGAATGTCTAAAAATATATCTTACATGCCATTCCCATCTATGACATGAAAATCAAGATGCAATGTATTAGAATATGTTACCCAACTACATTGATTATTACAAACAAGTTAACAAATATATGTTATTTAATGTTGTATTGGTCTATGTAGCTAATTATACTTGCAAAATGCATGGTGGAATGCTAAAGGTGACCAGATAAATGTTGCGTAGCTATCCCATATAGCAGGAAATTTTTGAGGGAGTTGAATTCGGCAAATTACTATATTTTGGTAATTGGCAAATTTTAATTTGGCAAATTTGTGGTCACATACCATTGAGCATGCATATAATGGCTTGAAATGGTGGATTTTATTTTGGAGTTTTGCTATCAAAATGCCAAGTTCACCAACATCGATTCCCTCCAAAATTTTGCACTACAGTATATGAGGGAAACAAAGTGCTGTTACATTATGAAAAAAAGTGCAGAGGGCACAAATTCTTCCCCATAGTATTAAATGGTGTAGCAAGCATTAATTCTTCCCTTAAGTATTGTAGGAACAAAATAGTGCAATTCTTCCCTATAGTATTGTAGGGACAAAATAGTGCTTGGTACTAATTTCTGCCTACATAGATAGGTCAAATTGTATATGTGTATAAGAGTTCCTAGTGACACCATTATGTAGGAAGAAAATAGTGCATTTGAACACTATTTCCTCCCTCTATAATCATGGTTTTTAAATTTAGTGACATACTCTACCGATCGTAAAAAACAGACATACCCCAAGTTACACAAAAGCTTGAAAAACATTTGCAAAACAGCTGATGGCAATTAGATATACAAGTATAAAACAACCAAATACTTAGCTGTAGCAACAAGTGAAGTGATGCTACAAGTTACAAAAAGTCTATC